ATATATTTCAATTGGTTTCAGTCTGCCCAGTGGTATGCTGGTATTAAGATGGAGACTTCAGAGGGGATAAATGTAGAGAAAAGAGTAAGGAAGTGTTCTGATTTGTTTTGGGACAACTTCAGTTCACCTGTGTCTGCATTTGCAGACAAGACAGCCTTCCTTGAAAACTGAAAACAGCAGCCTTAAAAGCATTATATTCAGTTTGCAATACTTTTAATGTAAATGGCAAGTTTAGGGTGCAATAGAAGGGAAGCACCTTGCTCTTATTTGTCTTTTGCTTTTTAAGTGTGCAAGACATGTCCTGTACCATATGAACTACCATGAATAAGGATTAAACTTCTTCCTTGATCTCTTTATTGGGCCATCAGAGAAGCCTCAGTTTTCTCACTTACTGCAGTGCAACAAAGGCTGGTTGCTTGCACAAGATTGGCAATCAGATTTTTTAAAAAACATTATCTTGTCTTTATTATTTTTATAAATAAACTCAAGATGGCAAACATACCTAATACTCCTTCCTCCTCCTATTTTCCCCATGGCAATCCTATGAGATGGGTTGGGTTGAGACAATAACTGGCCCAGTCACTTAGCCAGTTTTCATGACTAAGTTGGGACTACAACTCACAGTCTCCTGGCTTCTAGCTTGGTGTCTTTACCACTAGACCAAACTGGCTCTTTTGAAAATATCATTCTTCCCTTCCCAAAGTTAAACTCCTAAAACATCCAGAAACTGATTAATAGAGAAAAGTACTATTGCCTATACTTTTGCGTTCAGGCCTTCTCCTGGCTATCTGATAGATTTAATTTTATTCTGGACTTTCCCCTAAGAGTATTAACCACCTAGATGGTTCCGTCCCAGGCGACTGATGGACCCAGAGAGGTTCCTGACGGAGCTTGGGCCTTATCCGGGGGATCTGGTCCATGACTCGGCGGAAAATCAGGCGGCGGCTTGGGAGACAACTGCCGCCGCTGCATTGGACCGAGTCGTGCCTTTGCGGCCTCTGACCCGGCCTAGATCTCGTCTGGCTCCCTG